GCCGAAAATACCCTTTCTCACTTGACTGTTGTGAAGGACAAAACTAGTTACAAAGTCATTGTGAATAAAAGACCCTATATATTCCACATATAAGAGTTAAGAAAAACTCATGGGCATAAATCTAGTGCACATAGGATCCTGCAACCTGAGTCACCAAAGCCACATGCTTTTCACATTGTTCCTGCATGTACATCTTGCACAAGCAGGCGATTGATGTTTGAGTCCAGTGACTCAATAACTTAAAATACCCACCAATAAAGAGTCTGCTGAATTACTGAATCTCACTTGTGTGTGAGAATCCACCCATTTCCAGCAGGGATAAACTGAAAATGGCAGAAAATTCAAGGAAGTTTCCCTGCTGAGCCAAGGACACTCAACAGAGACAGCCAGACTTCTATTTTCACAACTCCCACCTATGCAAATTGCAGAAGGAGGTGGTGTAGAAAATAAGAGTGAAGGGAAACAGGGCTACTACATACTTGTCTTAGAACAATTTTTCTGCCACTGACACACTTTTAGCTTAGGAGTGAAAGGCAAACCAAAACAGAAACCATCCACTCTTCTCTCTCCCTCCTCAGGCAAATGTGGAGCCCAGAGCTCAGTAGTGTAGAGTTGGATTGGCAAAGAGTGCTCCAAGGTTTATTTCTGGGCGTGAGTTTCAGGGTTTGAATATTGTTCAGATGAGATAAATAGAGCATTATGCAACACCATGAATGAGGAACACCCGCTGTCACTGTTTGAAGCCAGATACAAGACTTCTAATCCCCAAATCAATGCAACTTCCTCCAGGAGGCAGCTGTTCAGAGAATTCTGGCTCCAATGGAAGGACCTCATTATATGGGGGATTGGGAGACTCTAACCGATCCTTCAGACATAAATCCAACAGATGAGTATTTCCATTGGTGTGACAAAAAGACCAGGGGCATTTGGCTGGCACTGGCATTTGTGTTGTTCCTGAAGTTTATGAGTGGACTCACTTCTGTAGTTAGAAGTCAGAGACCTGGGCTCATTCATCTTTGCAACCCCCTCACTACAGCTTCAGCCAGAGTCTTACTCAACCCTTCACCACAATCATCACTCTCCTCCTCAATCATGTACTTTATTCCTTGATCTGGGTCCTGTGATTTTTGTCTCATCAGCACCCTCCATTTCTTTCCTCTTTGCCCTTCTCACTTAACAATTAATTATCCAGCAGGGTTCTTACCTGCATTGCTCAGTTGGTGGGAAAAAATCGTACACTCATCCCACTAATGAATGGACGGCAATCTTGCAGCATTATCTCATTGGCTATCTCTGCTGGACAGGAGTTATGATTATCATTATTATCCCTATTAACCAGATAAGAAAACTGAGACTCAGTTCTTTGAGTAATGCCTCAGGGAAAATATTAAGCTATGCTTCACACTTATTTGTCAACTGGGAATCAGTTCTGCTAGTTAATCTTACATTTGACTCCTCACCAGTCCTACTTAAATTATCACTGATTTATTTGGTCAAGATATTTCAGAGCCCTTAAATGAATGACAATAGAAACCCAAAGTGTTTATTTTCTCAAAATCCTGGATGACAAGATCTAGAAAAGGAAATTAAGGTAAAGCCTCAAGTTACTGATTGACCTATAGGAAGAGATGGCATGTTTCTCTAAACCATATGTTGTTGTTGTTGTTGTGTTGTAACATGTAAAATCTACTTAATCTTATTTCTTGAGTTAGTGGTATCTTTAACCACTCAGCTTTGGCAAGAATTTCAGGAGCTGTCTCTAATTCTATTTTATGTTGTCTTCTCCTCATCTTCCTTCTCAGATATTTTAAAGACATATAGCTTCTAAGTTGGCAAATGGGAGAAATCATGTTCTGGTGCATTCCTTTACCTGTCTGTAAGCACTACATTCCCAAAGGCTTACCAAGCACCACAGGGCTTGTCAGCAATTCCTTGGGACTTCCCCAAAGTTCCCAAATGAGGTGTAGCACACAGAGAGCTTGGGAGATTCCAGAAATGGATAAGCAGTAGTGTTCCAACTCTGTTAACTTGCTGTGATTGAGCTCTAGCCAGATCCACTTCAATGACTTTGCCTGCACTAGAAAGGAGTGGACTACCCTTGCAACTCAAAGTATTACCCATAGCATCTGTATTACCTGGGAATTTGTTAGAAACAGAGACCCAGATCTTATTCATCAAAATCTTTGTTAAAGAAATTTCCAGGGGGGTTGGAGTTGTGGCTCTGTGGCAGAGTGCTCATCTAGCACATGTGAGGCACGGGATTCCAAACTCAGCACCACACAAAATATGTAAAATAAAGATATTGTGTCCCACTACAGCTAAAAAACTTAAAAGAAATTTCCAGGGGATTCATATATACATTAAATTTTGTGAGGTACTAGATGAGATGGTTTCTTTTTTTTGGGGGGGGGGAGATGTGTATCAGGGACTGAACTCAGGGGCACTGGACCATTAAGCCACATCCTCAGCCCAATTTTGTATTTTATTCAGAGGCAGGGTCTTACTGGGTTGCTTAGC